TGAAGCGGCAATGTGTGAAGGAAGAAGAGAACAAAGTAGTCTGTCTTGGAAGCGGCTCGGTGACGGCGCGGCTACCCTCCTTCACTATTCATTCTTGAATAAACACACCCCATCATAACAATATGCTTCGCCCCATCACACTGTCGTTTTGCGACAAAGCTACCTTTCAAGCTCTGCTACGGTTTTAAATGTACCGACTTAAGAAAATGCTGGTTCAACATGGCGATACTAGATGGGGCAGAAGTGGGGGCTCAATGCTGTTTAGGACAGGACATTTGGGCAGGAAGCCACAGTTCCTTATCAACAAACATCAGTGATGAAAGTACTGCTCCAATTGCTCCAAAATAAAAATGCTGCTCCTAACAGCAATTTTAGTTAGTAATTGCTGCAAATCTGCTATGAAACGACAACCCATAAAAATAGAATGACGAACTTTTACTGTTTAACTGATTCATAAGTCCTAAAGAAACTGAAAATAAACTGTGTAATATCATCCCATTGTGCTACTAGTGTGCAGCATTATCAGCTCTGATCTCATTTATGCAACAAGAACTGGCATATTAAGCTTATGGCCGTCTCCCCCCCCCCCCCCCCTCGCAGCTAAACTTGCAGGCTAGTGTGCTGAAATGTAGAAATGAGCAGCATTGCTTTTATCTCATACCGATTATCTACTGCTTATTTGGCTACTATATGGGACTGTGCTTACTTTTAAAATGTGGGGCTCAGCTTTGCCGGTTTGATTTGATTTCTGCCACAAATATGAGTGTTTTGAATTGTAGCTCATTTCACAGCAATTTCTGACAACATGCCATTGTTTGCTTCATGAAATTTACATTGATTGTCTTATCTATATTTCCTAATATATATTAATATTTACAAGATGCTTTTACAATGCTCTAAATTCCAAGTGATGTATGGCAAACTTGGTATCTGCTCCTAAAACACCAATAGCTGCTCCAAAGCAGTACTTTTTGTGTGTGAAAGTAAGCTCCAAAAAGTAAAAAAGCACTTCTACCACTGCAAACTGAGTGTCATTTCAGGCAGTGCTGAACATTTTTTCTTGTGAATGGACAAGAATAACAACATTCTCCTCTGAATGAATGAAAGTTTAACTTTAGGGACTTGTTTTCTTTGTTAGACACAATATTAAGTAGAACTAACACACAATAATGCCAAGGAAAACATAGGGGATATTAGTAGAAGTAATTGTAATGTAAATGTGAAGAAAAAAAGGTGGATGAAAAGATATCGTCCGACTGGAGGGATCCAAACCTGCAACCTTCAAATAACGCGTCTGTTGCTCTACCACTGAGCTTAGTCCCGTAGTCTACATTATAAGGTGTATATATATATGTGCATTTAGACGTGGGAGCTAATAAGATAACGTACTACCTGACTCCAAAGAAACATAAAAATGCCGTTCCTTCCTCGTCAAAATGGCATCAAGTGGCGCTGACTGAAGCTGCCACGTTTTATTATCAGAGTTTCATTATCCTCAGTTTAAGTTGTTTGTAGCAATAAATTTCTGAAATACAGGTATTTTGAGCGGTTTGCCAAGTTCGTAATTTTTTTGTGATTGTGATTTTGTCTATGTATCGCTTGTTTTTAAAGGGGAATAACTACTGTGATTGAGAAGCGTGCAGTTTTTTACTTAGGCGTGCTTAATGTTCAGAAATCGTGTAATTTGCAGAAAAGCATTTTGTGCCGTCAAGATTTATATATATTTTTTTTCACAAAACTAAGTTCAAGACCAATGCTCTCTAATGCCCAGGTCTATAATAAATTTCATCAAAATCGGGAATGGTGACCAGGACCTCGTGTTCGATTTTATATCTGGACACACCCAAGTGCAATAAAACTGAGAGTCCTGCTTTCTTATTGAGACAATCTGCTAGAATTTGAGGTGATTACTAAAGTTCACATGACAATCCTGCAAGTGGATTAAGATTGTGAAAATACAGCAAAGCAGTTCACTTAGCATAAGAAAGCTGCCTACCACGGTGGCCTACTGGCTAAGGCACTCGTCTGCTGAATCACAAGTCGCGGGATCGAATCCCTCTCGTGGTGGCCGGATTTTCGATGGAGGCAAAAATTCTTGAAGCCTGTGTAATTAGCAGGGGTGCAACCGCCGAAAAAGAATTAGAAGCATTTTCGGAGCAGCAAAATTTTACTTTTGGAGCACTAAAATGCTAACTTGGTGCAGGTTCCAGAAAAAAAAAACATCCATCTTTTATCAGGATGGACCAAATTTGGAGCAGTATAAAAATAAAAATAGTAGAAAAAGAGAAAAGAGCTGACATTTAGAAAAAAATATGTACAAATCATTCAACATCACCTGAATCATGCAGAATGCTCTATTATTTCAATAGAAGTGGCATTTTCAACCACCTTACTGAGCAAACTCAGTAAGGTGGTTGAATGATAAAGTCCACATAAATGATAAAGTCCACATTAGCATTTGCCGCATTTTTCAAATAACTTGACAGACTCTGCGAATTCAAATATAGGTCTGCCAAACTGGAGACCTTGAAATTCAAGGGATTAATGAAACGGTGGGGAAAAAAAAACTGCTGTGCAGTTTTTTAAGGCACCAACAATGTCATACACTGCTCTAAATGATTGCCAGTAACATTTTTAGAATTCAGAAATCATACTAGTATTCACAGTTATACGGCGTATACACGCATGAGCCATTGAACAAAATGAACTATGTTCCGTGACTAGTGCTTAGAGCCCCTTCCAAATCACAACATGCTTTTCTGTAGGGAATCGATGCACAGGTCGGTCCACTGTTAGAGAGAACAGACGAGCACGTGGCTTGCTCTCTGTGGCGGCTGCATACAGCACCACCAACCGACAGTTGAAGAAAACACGTTCGCTTTCGGCGACATATATTGCCAAACACGATAACAAGTCGTGGTGGGTAGGCAAGCGCTGCTACATTACGCTCCCTCTTCACTCGCGCGAAGGGTGATGACTCACCTACAGTGAGTCATCTGCTGCCAACAAGACAAACGTGGTGTGCGAGCACGACAAAAGCTGCATGCATCGCCAAACACCGCTAGTCGCATGAGCGGTGCGAAAGTGTAATCTAGCAGCCCTTTTCAACCGGCCATGAATAGTTATCTTGGCTGGCAATAGATGACGCCGAAAGTGAACATGTTTTCCTTAGCTATTGGCTGATAGTGTTGTAGGCAGCTGCCGCAGAGTGCAGGCCATGCGCTCACGTGCTTTCTCTAAAAGTGAATGGCACAGGTGGCTTAAGCAGTGTTCTACACGGGATGTGTTCTCTGGCAAGGCCAAGAAATTTTCGAGTACCGCTACGCCCCCTCCCCCATTTTTTTTTTTCTCACAATGGAGTTAGGTTTAGGCCACAACTTCTGAGATCCCTCCTAAGACTGCTTTCAGTGGTCTGCCAGATAAAGTGACAAAGGTGTGCAATCGTTGATCCGGTATTTAATATTTATCGCCGGGACAACGCAACTAACACAAGGTCAAAGATAGAAAAATGTTTTATGTACCTTCGCTATAGCGACCAACGTCTTTGCTGCACGTGAACTCTGCGCGCGAACAACGCGGTATGCGCTTCCAGCTCTAGCTGCTAACATGCCATAGCTACGTTTCCTGACTAGGAAGTTCATATTTCCCATGAAGCGTTGGTGGCTATGATAACACATTTTCGTGTAGAAGTTGCGTCGTCCCGCCAATAGGTATCTGCTGCGGTCAGCGGACAGATGGGCTCGCGGCTTCCTTACTTTAGCTCATCCATCACGTCTCGCGAGTGCCCTGACCTAATGAGAATGTGTTTGACACCGTGGTTTAGGGTTAGGGTCTGCACGCTTTGATTGATCGATGCCGCAAACTGTAGGTAACCAACGTGGCATCTGTTTCTCGCTGAAATGATAGCGCAACTGAGAAAATTGCGAGGCTGGTCAGGCATTTTGGTGCAGCGAGGTACAATTTCAGCGAATTTCGTGGTTTTAGTGCAGCAATGGCAATTAGTATCAAATTGGCGCAATTGGCGCAGCTGTTGCACCCCTGGATTAGGTTTAGGGGCACAACACAAGATGATCGAAATTTCTGGAGCCCTCAACTACGGCATCTCCGATAATCATGTCGTGGTTTTGGGACATTAGGTGCCCCAAAATATTGTTATTAGCATGAAAAACTCCTGCTGTGGGTTGAGTGGTGGTGTCCTCAATAACGCAGGAAAATCTAGGTCAAGTCATGATACATGATGTGTAGCCATTTCAAGTACTACTGCTATTCAACTGAGTTTCCAATTTTTATTCCTACTGAGATTCTGTTCCACATGCACAATACCGATTTTTTCAGCCACAGGGGAGTTGTAGTACCTAGTCATTGGTGCCAGCAAGGCAGCTTGATGAGAGAAGTGGGCAATTGTGTGAACATATCAAAAGAGATGGCACGGATTGCATTAGTGAAGCTTGTATAGCTTTCCAGTATTAAAATTCAGTTGTTTAGTTTTTGGCTGAAATGTGTTGCAGCATTCAGTGGATATTACCACATGTCAAACTTGGAAAAAGTTAGTTGAAAGTAGAATAAACGGAGTCATCCTGACATCTTCTTTTGCATGCTTCATCTTACTTTCATGGCCAAACAATGCATTGGGATCAATTTGGAAAGCTAGATGTCTTATAAGACGATAAATTTAACAGGAGCACCCTGAATTTAAGAAAACTAAAACCATTTGCTATTACATAAAAAAAATCTGACTGAATGTTTCAAAAGAGGTCAACAGTATGAGAAAGACATGAAACTAATTACTCAAGCACTAGTCAAAAGTGTGTTACTGACCATACAGTAATGATACTTGTCAGGGTTTAAAGTGCCAAAACCAGGATATGATTATGAGAGACACTGTAGTGCAGGGCTCGGGAAATTTCGACCACCTGGGGTTCTGCACCTAAACGTACACCTAAATCCAAGTACACGGGCACTATATGGTACACTAATGGTACAAAAACAGCCACATAAGCTGACAATAAAAAAATTCTATTTATTCGATAAGCTTCCACAAATGGCAATACATGAGGATAAGAACAAGACCTCAAGCCACTGCAACATCTGCTACCACTTATCGCTCTTGTCTGCCTGAGCAGCCTTAGTGGTTGTAAATAGCTGACTTGTTCGAAGTGAACTCATTTTGAACAGATTCGGATGCATTACAGAAAGAAAGATACAGTTACCCCACTAAGAAATGTGATTGCAGTAGCCAAAATTACTGCCCTATGAAAGATAATGAACAAATGCTAAAAAGAAATTAATGACTTCTCTCATACTTCCATCTCTGTTTTTGCAAATATTGCAAAAGCACAAAAAGTGGAACGAACTGATCTGGCTGTATTATTATTATTATTAGCACAGCCTGGGCATTATTAGTGGCTGAATCAGCACGCAAGTGGATGTTAATGTTCCTTGAAGACATAGCCAAAGTTCTATTTTTAGTTTTAAATGCTAAATTGAGGTGCATGTCGTACAGATAATTATGTACCCTTGATAGCTAAAAATTGCCTACATACAATTAGTACCAAAAAACACAATTAGATGTATGTAACTTGTTATATGTAGGTTGCTATGAAAGCTGCCCTATACAAAGCAGTTGTCTGACCAGGAAAATTTACTAGCCATCTGCCTAACGGCACAGGATCTCTAAAATTCAGCAGAGAATACCTTCAGCAAACTGGTTTTTCTAGAAAAGAATGTTCACTGCAATCATTGTAGAAGCTGAAGAAAAAAAAAACTAACAGAAACAGAGCTTATACTATTTGTCATCTGAACTGCCATAGAGACTTCAGAGTTTCAATTGTGTCGTCCACTAAAAGGCGAAAAATTGCAATGGCAACCTGGTCTTTGACAATGACCTCCTCACGACTGTAGTCCACCCATTCAGGCTCTTCTCCTCTGGCTTCAGAATATAACAGTACATCCACAAAATTCAGTCCACGATCATCAAAGTTGCGGAATGCAAGTTCAGAATTTTCATGGAGTCCTGGCACTGACAACACCTTGCTTCCCACAAGAGAGATAAAAAGCTCAGGCGTAGCAGGCAGAGGTCGCTTTCTTCTAAGACGCACATTTCGTTGCCAGAATGGTGGAGGAGTATCTGTCTCTTCAGTGCTGAAAAAAAAAAAAGAAATATAAATAAATGCCAGTTTCAAATACTCAAATTATAACTGCAAGCTGTGGCACTGCTTTATCTTTCTTGCTTCTTTATGCAGCAAAATATTTTTAGCATCCACATCATGTGTTCATTTCAGAGAATTCAATATGTAGGGAGAAAAGAAGAGTCATTATACGTCGTGTTACATGCATCAGAAAAGCAGAGAGATAGTGCATCAATGAGGAAACATTAAAATTCGCAGTACACAGTGCGCATTTCACGCTGAACAAGAGCTTGGTTCCTAAACAAGTAAGCAGTTTTTATACTAGTTAAACTTATTAGACTGTGGCTTTACAATGTAATTGTCAGGGATGCTGTCGTGGGATGCTCCAGATGAATTCTGACTATCTAGGGTTCTTTAATGTGCACTTACATATGCATATAGAGTGTTTTTACTTTTAGACCCCATTAAACTATGGCTGAGAAGAAAACCCACTTCCTTGAACTTAGCAGTGCAACACCTTAGCCACCAAACAACCACAGAGGGCACTCGTAAAAACCAAAAGCAGACATCACAGCGCGAGATCCTAGAACCAATGACTTCATCACACCAAAATTTTATTTACACTTCAAGCTATACAGTCATGACTTAGCTGAACAGTTATCATGAGCCATCCACACATTAGTGAACCCCTGAATGGCAACCACAAATATTCTCCACCATATAATGCAAAAGCAAACTGATTTGACTCGCCCTACAATGTAAAAACATTATAAAAGCTACTGCAAAGACTGTAAATGACAAAATGTCAGGCAATTCATGATTGTAGTTGTATATTTTCACAGAGTGTGTCCAACTATGGTTTTAGCATAGTGTGCTTAGCAAACCATGCCAAACTATTATTTCATGTTCAGCATTAGAGAGTAAAACCTACTATAACCCTACCACAATGGCTCATGTTTTAGTGAGATGAGCAAGACCTCAAGTTTACCTGTCAAAAAATCAAACAATCAAAAATCAAACAATGTAACATGCAGTAAAAAAAAGGCACCATCTGCGAGCAACACATTACCTATTGCCAGCAAAAGAAAAGAGGTGCCACAGCTAGCACTTGGTACACAAATGTATCAATAAAAATCATATTGCATTGCTTCCAATGACCATGATAGGCTGAATAGGGCATTAATTCACCGACCACAGACTGGATAGCATGTTAGATATAGATTGAAAAATAAAAGATAAAAGTGGGACGTTCACAGCAAGTTCAAAGTGAGCAGATAAGCACGATAAATACATACAAATTACACATGCACACAGGACTAGTGCTGTACTTGTCCTTTTCCTTTCATTTTTGCCCTTGTCTTTTCATCTGAGCTTCGAGTAGTATACTGCAACAACTTGCCTGAACAGAAGTATACTCCTGACTGTTTAGTTCCCAAAAGTTCCTTGTTGCAATAAGAGCTACAACTATTTTGCATTTGTTCCATCTGTCATGTAGTGCACAATTGAACACACAATCAAATGAAAATAGAAAATATACTGTGCAAAACATAAATCATTTGATTGTATCTTGCTTGATGATACTATACAATTATCCTTCACTTTAATAAACTTTCATTTGAGTTAGTTACTTCAAGCAACATCCCAGTGCGTATGCTTCCCCTATTCACAATTCAGCTGTTAAAAATTGAACAATCCTTGCGCTTTGCTTTCAAGAGAAGATCGTGATAGTGTAACTGGGCCACGTGCGCATCGCCTTCTAAACTGGCAGCTTGCTTAGGCTGACAATGCATGCCTCAACTGTGCTGTTGTTAAATGATTGACTGTGCACATAAAATTGGCCTTTTCAAAGTAGCATTCAATGCCTCCTGCAAGCACAGCTGTGAAGTGCCCCCCACACCATAATTCTTCCTTTTGCTAATCAGTGAAGGGCCCACTACGTGTCCATAGGGCAACACGCAAACCTACGCAGTTATTCACAATGTTCATAGTTTTGCTGATGATGATTATTGAGTATGTCTGAGCGCTTTGTAATGGGCCTTTAAAACACCCACTCGTTGCTCGAACCATGTTCTGACGCCCGGCAACATATGATGTGTTAAAGGGACACTAAAGAGAAACAATGGCTTGGTTTAAATAGAAAAACTGCACTCCGAGAGCTATAATGCCATATATTTCACTATCACAAGTTTATTATTAGCAGAGAAAATCAAGGCTGAAGTTTTATTTTTAAATTTCACGCCGAAATCTCTACATGTGATGCCAAACTTCAAAATGTATATTTCATATTTTTGGGACATTGACACAATGAAATTTTCTGAAACTTTGTATGCTAAGTATGTGGCACCCAGAGATGATAATGTACTTCATTTTTATCAATTAGAAGCTACACAGGGCTATGTAGACGCCTTCTAAATCTATAACGCCACGATGTTTGGCGCTGGAATCTCAAGGTGGCGTCTCCAACTGCATTTTCTTTCCGCGTGTTTTCTCGCTTACCAAGTGTCGTGTCAGGGTAAGAATGGTGTTTTCGGGATCGTGAAATTGCACCTAACTAATACATGAAAAATTGTTTTGCTTACTCTTTCTCTGCACGACATTCATATGCTGTTTTTTTTCCAAAGCAGTTGCAATAAATATCGTGGCTCTGTGGTACTTGCCACGCGAACTTCATCCTCAGTCAGAGAAAAAAATTTCTTAATTTTCATTTTATTTGCTTCTTTCTCTCTTTTTCAGTCACGAACAAGATGATGATTTCTCGCTCACAACCAACAAGGCCGCCGACGATACTGGAATTTCTGCGAAATGAGCTGTTTAATATTCTCACGTAAAAACTTTGGCTATGAATCAACAGTATCAGTTTATTACCAGTGGCACTCCACTGGATTTTACAACTAACACGAGAAATTTGTCGTGTGTTGGGGTGCTTGTACATTACTGGTATTGAATAAAAGGACAGTGACAAAAACTAGAAGAGACAAATATGGTGCTAGAAACCATGTTTTTTTTTTTTTTACATTGTGTTTGTCCCTTATTATTCCTAGCTCTGTTTTTTTTTCCTTTTGAACATCATAATTCTTTTTTTTTCTGCATTATGCAAAAAGTTGTTTAGAGCAAAACTTTATTTATGCAACCAGAGCTGCCTGTTCAACGAAAGAAAAATTAAAACCTGCCAAAGTGGAACGAAAGCAAAAATGAGATTTCCCATGCACAAAAAGATTGGATGGTATTACTCAAGCCACAGGAAAACATCTAGGAAACCTTAAAGACACCCTGCAACACTTGACCGAGTAATCAGTGGAGAGGTTCATAAAGAAGTTTATTGTCTCACAAATCAACTGCTGCAAAAATTTTGGTATCCATCAAGTATAAGCATAGTTGCAGGGATTTGTCACACGCTTTATGTGACAAATCACTCAAGGTGTGCTGAAAGCGACACAGGAGAGGGAATCGCAAGGGGGCAAAAAGATACACCCGTACATCAGTGCATGTCGTGACCTTGAGCATGTTCATCCCCACCCCCCCTTTTTTTTTAAACAGCTGCTAAATTTCATTGTGATTGCAGGTGCGGCACGGGGCGACACGTGGTGTGGCTGTGGCGACTATGCAGCTCATGATGCTCAAATCAGCCAATGGCTGTAGACTTTATAGACTTATGGCATTATTTGTAGAGGAAAGAGCAAACGATTTCCAACATACTTTGACAATTAATTGTGAATTTCAGGCCATATGCTGCCTGAAATTTCGACTCACATATTTGACTCGCATGTTCTTGGGATCCTTGACTACCGATTGGCACTGTTTTCTAACTATGCTGAAAAAGTGTTGCAGGACCCCTTTAAAGGGTCACTAAAAGCAAATAACAGTTTGATTGATTTGATATGTGGGGTTTAACGTCCCAAAACCACCATATGGTTATGAGAGACGCCGTAGTGGAGGGCTCCGGAAATTTAGACCCCCTGGGGTTCTTTAACGTGCACCCAAATCTGAGCACACGGGCCTACAACATTTCCGCCTCGATCGGAAAAGCAAATAACAATTTATGTCAGAGTAAAATGTCATTGTTTATGAAGACCTAAACCATCAATATCATCATCAGTAGTGCTCTACTGAAGGATAAATTAAGGTAAATGTAGGAGATGATATGCGCCACAAGTGAGACACTTCAGAATGAGCCCAATGACATCAAAGTCCCAAGTACAATTAATCACTAGTACTCATACTGCTTATCATAGAAATGAAGATTATTAGAAAAGAACATCCCACGCATTACAAGACGCAATAAAATGCCGCTTGTGCATTTTTTTTTATTCATGAAAAAAAAGAATTAATTAGTGTTATCATAAAGAATGGTACGGGTGGTCACGAATCTCCATTTTTGCATCTAACTGGTAATTTTGTTATTGTGTAGTGCTGCATGTGCTTTGCAGGCTCATGAAAGTCGCTCGAATGAAAAGTTTAACAAAATGCAGTGTTTGTGTGATGTCAGATACTTGAATGGTGTAGGCAGCTTTAGCTGCAGAAAAGAAACCGACATGACTTTCCACTGAGTTGCCCAGAATGAACCCTTTCACTCAATGTGGCTAAGTGCCGTGCCTCGAGACCCATCGTGACAAGCTTCGATGGGTGCTGTTGCTGCTGTGGCTCTCACTACTTTTGCACGTTTGCTTTGCTGCTGTCTGCTGGCCAACCCAAGTTGTGTCTTGGATTGATTGATGGCCACTATTCTGCTGTACATGCAAGAAGCTTCTACATTGGTTGCAGTGCAGTAAAGGCAGGTAACATAGGCAAGCCACTTATTAGGTCAGAAGGCCTCTTCAGAAGGGTGATTTGAAGTACACTAACACTGTGAGAACCACTTAAAGGGGCCCTGCGACACTTTTTTAAGCATGTATTTTTCATCGGTTCTTCTGGTGCTGTGGAATGTGCCGATATCGTTGCGCACATGGCAATGCCAAAATCTACGATGTTATACTTTTAATTGACCAGACAAACTACCTCGATTTCAAACTACGG